AAAAAATAAAAATAATTAAAAAAAAAAAAAACCTGGCTGTTCCGAAAGGCCTGGGGCTAAAGAGCTGTTGCCCCCCGCCTCGAATGGTATGACTGCTGTGTGTTTTTTAAATTATGTATTGTTATTTTTTGTCTTTTTTTTTTCTTTCTTGTACCCCCCTCCCCTGATTTGAATTGTGAGCCGCCCTGAGTCCCCCTTGGGGAAAAGGGCAGCATATAAATGTAATCAAATCAAATCAAATCAAATGTTGGGAAACAGTTGGAGCCCGATCTGAGGAAGACCTTAGGTCTGGTGCGCACCGAAACAGAGGTAGACAGGCCTCCACGGCACATGAACTTAGCAGCACACATCCTCTTGTCGGGTAGTCTGCAGGGAATTCTGGCCCATGCCTTGGTCGATTCTGGGGCTACCTCGAACTTTATGGATGCGCCATTTGCTACAAAGTACGATGTCCCTCTGTGTCCGGTGGACCCACCGATGCGGGTCGAGACCATTGATGGCCGAGTGCTTCTGTCTGGGCCTATCAATGCCACCATGCAGCCATTGCGTCTGGTCGTCGGGGAGCACGAGGAGACCATCCAATTTTACGTTGCTTCTGGCCTGCATTTCCCCGTGGTCCTGGGCTTGGCTTGGGTGCGGGCGCTCGACCCTCAGATTTATTGGTCGCAGAACCTGATCATGTTCCCGTCCCTGCAATGTGTCTACCACACCCGTCATGTCTTTGCAGGGCAGGTGCTCAGCTCGCCCAGGGTGGCCGTGCCGCTGGACTTAGCAGAGTTCGCAGACGTCTTCAGCAAGCAGGACTTATAACTGCCCCATAGACCTGGTACCAGATGCGAAGCTCCCTGCGGGTCGCACCTGTACTCCATGTCTGAGCCAGAGTTGGCCGCATTGCGGTACTTTCTGAACAAGAAACTTGCCCGGGGCTTTATCCAGCCCTCGTCATTGCCACTGTCTGCCCCGGTCTTGTTCATCAAAAAGAAGACCGGGGATCTGAGACTCTGTTGCGATTATTGTTGCCTGAATGCCATCACGGTGCGCACCCATTACCCGCTCCCCCTGATTCCTGAGTTATTGGCTCCAGGAGGTGACAGTAT